ACAGGGTCTCATTGAGTTGCTTAGCCCCTCGCTTTTGCTGAGGCTGGCTTTGAACTTGCAATCCTCCTGCCTCAACCTCCTCAGCTGCTGGGATTATGGGCATGTGCCACAGCATTGGCTCCCTTCATTCTTTAACCTGTTTTTATTTTTTCCAAATCATATATTAACCTCTGACATACTAAATATTGAATTTTAAAATTTGCTTCCTGGATCTTCTCACTAGATGTAGACTCTACCCCAGTGCTTTGCATACATTTTATTGTTATCTTCTTGAAGCTTTCTTCTCTTGGTTTCTAGGTCACATTTGCTTTCACTCTCCTATTATCTCACTAGCTAGTTCTTTTCTGTTTCATGCTGGTAAATAAAAAGGGGAGGGAAGGTGTAACATACATCTTAGGAAGATAAAAGGTCTTCTATGCTAAGCTGGGTGGGACCTGTTGCAGCATGATCACCCGACAACCATTTACTTTCTAGGGAGCAAGATATTTAGCACCCAGTGAAAGCTCAGAACTTGTGTTCTGTGTGTACAGATGAGACACCTGCAGTATAACAGCCAATGTATGAAAATACATTACCTTTGTCCTACTAGAAAGAAAAATTACTTCCTTACAGAATTTTCAAATTTATCTTTTATTGCTTTGACCAATGGAAAAAATAAAATTGAGGGATGGGATTGTAGGTCAGTGGTAGAGCGCTTGCCTTGCATGTGTGAGGTACTGACTTCGATCTTCAGCACCACATAAAAATAAAATAAATAAAATAAAGATATTGTGTCCATCTACAACTAAAATAAAATATAAAATTGATTTCACCATATAGTTATAAGAACTACGAATGAATTTCTAAAATGATTTATTTTATGAAATGATTAGGTAGCTTCTAATATATCTGGTCATGAATAATAGATAAAATTATAATAAGAACGGGGAAAATTAACATTTTTCTACCACAAAAACAAGGTTGACTAAATTTAAAGAATATTGAAAAGTGTTCCTGATGAAAAGAAACAGCATTTTCCCCCATTAAACAAAAATTATGTTTTGGACTGAGCTTCTATACTATGATCCAACAGGTCAGACCACCAAACCAAAATGGAGTCCCTTAAGCTAAATAATCAAATGGAAACTTTAAGAATGTTATTAAAAACAGGCTAGTTTTTCCTGAAAATAGATTTTAGTTTACATGAGTCAGTATAATAAGGAAGTCCCCCTTATTTTGACCTTTACTAAAAAGTGAATAGCAGTAATCTGACATTAACCAATCAGGTTTTTTTCCTATTATTTTTGTTTCCTTGTTACACCTTATAAAACCAACTCTACCCAAGGTACAGTGGTGCTTGTCTGTAATCTCAATGACTCAAGAGGCTGAGGGAGGAGGATTGCAAGTTTGAGGCCAGGCTTGGCAACCCAGTAAGACTGTGTCTCAAAATTAAAAAGAAAAAGGGTTGGGGATATAACTCAGTGGTGAAGTGCCCTTAGGTTCAATTTCTGGTACCAAACAAACACCACACACACTTACTCTTTTGCTTTTTTCCAAGGAGAACTTTTATTCTATTTTGTAGAATGGAAGCTGTCCAATTCATTAATCACAAATAAACTCCTATTCTACCTATAATTAAATTAGTTGCAATCTTGTCTTTTGACACTTCTAAATGTTGTTCTTGGCTAAACTTTTAAGGAATGAACAAAGAATTGTCAGATTAGAGAAAAATATAAGTAGAAATAACAACTTAATATGTTCAACATGCAAACCTAGACTATATCTTAGACTAGGGAAAAAAAAATTGGAAAAATTGATGAAGTCCAAATAAAGTCTATAATTTCATTAAAAAGCAAGCAAGCAAACAAACAAAAACCACCAAAACAGAATATCTCCATTCAGAACATGAAATCCTTTCTCAGCATTTTGCGCATATCTTCTGTGTTAGTATCTACTCAACCTGAAAGTTCTATACCAGTCAAGACACACCCTTCCAAGACTGAATAACTTTTATTGTTAGAAGGTTCTTCCTTGTATTTTGTGGTGTCACATTCCTTATAACTTAATGCACTTCAGTTCTTCATTCAAGAACTATATATATTATAGTCTAAATCCTCTTTTACTTGACCATCACATATTCTACATTCTGCCTCAAGTTTCTTTTTCAAACTTAACATATTCTGTTCCCTTCTATGATTTTTACCCAAACATAATTTTTTGGGGGGGTAAGTTTTGGTTTTTTGCCAACCATGGTTTTTACAACCATTATCATTACTGTCACACATTTTTAAAATCTGGTTTGTCAAATGACCTTAAATATCAATGCTCAAAACCAAACATTAGTATAGAGAATTTCAAACCATTTATCTTCTTGTTCTGGACACTATGCTCTGTGCCCAAAACTGTCCTCCTCTTTTAGCAGTTATATCACATTATTGGTTGTGAATGAATTCTCAAATCAACAGTTCCATAGTCTTTTCTATATAGAATATTCCAATGAAGGAACTGTCAGGATGGGAGACCATCACCCTATTCTAGTCTCTTAATAACAAATAATTTGAATGCTAACTATGTGCCAGACAATTGCAATTCTATGTCTACCTGTGCTTGACTTTTGATGATCTGAATGTTTGTATCTCCCTCAATCCATATGCTGAAATCCTAACCACCACAATCATGGAATTAGGAGGAGGAATTTTGGGAGTTGATTATGTTATGAGGGAAGAGTCCTTATGAATAAGAGTAATGCTTTTATGAAAGTGATCCCAGAGAGATTACTGGCTTTTTCCCCCACGAGACATTACAAAGAAAAGACCACTGTGCAGGAAGTAAGTCTAACCAGACATGGATTCTGCCCAGGCCTTCATCTTGGCTTTCCAATCATCCAGAACTGTTAGAAATAAATTTCTGGGGTTGGGGTTGTAGCTCAGTGGTACAGCGCTTGCCTAGCATGTGTGAGGCACTGGGCTCGATCCCTGGCACCACATTAAAAAAATAAAATAAAAAAAATAAAGATATTGTCCATCTACAACTAAAAAAAAATAAAAATAAAAAAGAAGTAAATTTCTGTTGTTTATTAGGCACCAAATTGATAGCATTTTGTTATAATGGCCCCAGTGGACTAAGACAATGTTCCAAATCTTATCAAAGAACTAATTTCATAAATACTTATAAAAGGCTGAACAGAAATTATACAAAGTAATCCCATATCATTATCCAACTAATAAACCTAAAGTCTTGTACAACAGCCTCTTGAGGGTAAATTATCGCTATAAATCTATTTGCCCATACTTATGTGGGATTATTCAATGTTTTCTCAGTCCTGTGAACTTTTATTTATTTTTGCTCCTATCAGAATCATACTGGCAGGTGGTAAAATTAGATGTACATAGTATCCTATGCATCTCAATTGAGAAAGCCACCTGGTCACATACACACATTTTAAACCTGTCCTGCACCACCTTCAGAAAACCAAGCGTCAGATCTGAGTTTTCCAATAGCTTTTCCAGGGCTGGAGTCATCTATGATCAAAGCCAACTCATTACTTCCTTACATCTGGACATAATCAATCTATTTTCTGACCTCTCACCCTCAACATGCCCAAATCCCTTTGAAGTCAAAGCATTAGTCATTTTTGTCAGGTGTAAAAAACATTCATAGCATGTGCACTTCGATGCTCTGATGTCCACAATGTGTAAAATCTGAAACATTCAAAGATCGCTTAAATCCCTACAGTTGCAGAAAGGGCCTTGATTTAAAAATAAATAAATAAACATTTGCAAGGCAGTTTCCCCATATTTATTTGTCTCTTTGAGGACAGAGGGTTCCTAACTCAGAAACGGGATGCCACCAACACTGGGTCACCTCACACAACCCCTAAAACCAAACCCAGAGAGGCGGCTGGCAGGCCTGGAGCTAGGGCAGGCGCTGACTCCCCAGGGAGTGACAGCACCTGCAGAGACCCCCACACCCTGCCCACCCCGCGACCCCTTACCTCTCTTGTCCAGGAGCCACATGAACGCGAAGCAGGGTAGGAAGCCAATGGGCCCCCACAGCACAAGCAGCGCGATGTCCCAGCTGGAGAAGCCATAGGCCTGGCGCGCCGAGTTCTGGATAGGGCCCCAGGTGTTCCAGACCAGGCCCTGCGCGAACGCCAGCAGCGAGAAGAGCAGCAGCACCAGCCAACGGCGCCCGTACACCCGTCCCGGACCGGGGCCAGCCGCAGGCAGCGCCACCGCCGCCGCCGCCGCCGCCTCCCGGCTCCTGCGCGCAGCCCCGGGTCCAGGCCCGAGCCCGGGCCCCAGTAGCGGCTGCCGCTCCTCGTCGCTGCTCCAGCCTGCGCCCATGGCCACGCCGCCCGCCGGCCCCTGCCCAGAGCAGACTCGGTGGCCGCCTACCAGCCCACTCAGACCCGGCGGGAGGAGCCCCAGTCGGAGCTGCTGTGGTTGCCCTCGGCCTCCCGGCCGCGCCTGGTGCGCCTGCGCCACCCGAGCTGGTGGGTGGGGAGGCGGGGGGAGGCTGAGGTCCGCCCCGCCCTCAGGCACTGCGAGCAAACACCAGCGCGTGGAAGAGCTGGGGTCGCAAAGAGAGGACCGGGAGGAATTGTAAAGGCAGTGAGGAGCGCGGCTGGCCCGGCTGAGGGAAACTCCCAGGGAGACTGCAGTAGAGGAGGTTAGGCAAGCCACCCGGGGGTTGCTGGAGGAAGTGCCCAAGTTTGCATCATGTGCCTAATAAACAACTCGGTGACCTCAGGCCACTTAACCTAATGCTTGCTACTATATTGGGTTTAGTTTTATTTGGTTTATAACTTCAGAAATTATGGGAGGGGGGATTGATGGAATAAGATCGAAGTGTAGGAGCGTGCCAGGGGATTGTGTTACAAAAATGACATCTTGTGCCTTTGTTTTTGTAAATAAGTACTACCTAGTATAATGTGTCACCTTTTTTTTCTTACATATCCAGTGCCACATGTAATATTTTTACCCATTTTGTCTATCACTTAATAGGCGAACAGTAAGATTGTGTTAAGGTTGTAAGATTTCTGCCCCAAAGTGACCTAGATCCATCTTCGGTTATGATTTCGACCAGACTAGGGGTAAACAAGGAAAAAACTGGGGGTTGTTGATCTCTTGACCAGGCATCCACTTGTTTGTTTGTTTTGATATATAAATCCAGAAGCCTGTCAGCTGTCAGTGTCCTTAAGAACTCAAGTGGAGCAATTTGGCTTGTCTGGATCAGGAAATGAGTCACAGGGAGAGCAATCAAAGGACACTCTGCCCGAGGTTCATATTCCCGGCAGTCACAAAAACTGGATGGTCACGCTGCCGCCAGAAGGGACAGAGAAGTGAAAGACAGTCACTGTGCTGGTCTCCACGGCTGGTCAGAGTGGCTGCAGGGACAGCGAACGCACAGACCAGGCCTACCGCCAGGAGCCCCGCAAAACAACAAACCACCCCCTAGGACTCCAATCCTGTGGGGTGGGGAAAAGCCAAGGAAGGATCTGACTAGAGAACGAAAGACTAAGCGAAAGAAGCTAAGGTCTGGAGAATGTGAGAAGCGCCACAACTCAAACCACGCGTTCGGTGCTGGGGACCAAAACAAACCCGTGTGGCCCCGCCCAGAGCTGGTCACGTGAGGCCGCGGCGGCAGCGGCGGTTCCGGCGAAGCTGGTGGAGCAGCTGCGATTCCTTCCTGTGGTGCTGCTGTGGACCCCCGGCGGGCGCTGCGCGGACTCCACTGCACGTTCACTCCATTGGGTTCTGGCGGAGCAGAGGCCGCCTCGCGCTCTCCATGGCAGCGGGCTCAGAGGTGAGCTCTCGCCTTACCCTGGAAGCTACAGCTGCAGGGAACCAAGGTAGGTGCCTGACTGAGGTCATACCCTAAATGCAAACCCGGTCCCTAGGGATCCACCGGGCTCCTCTCGTGTGGCCCTTTGAGATTAGCTCCATCCCAGGTCTCTCCCGCCTTGCGTTCAATTATGAAGAACTTGTTTTCATAAATGGGAGTTTTCGCAAATAGTGGTATCCAGATTTTTGATCGTTGTACAGAAATCCTAGGGCAGTGCTGTTGCACGCACAAAGGCGTTCTAATGTTAGAGTGGACTAAAATTAAATTTGTGAAACTGGAGGTAAGGGGAAACAGTGTGGGACTTTTCTGAACAGGGATCATGGGCTTTTTATTCGTTATCTGTGGAACATTGGTTTAGTGAATGGGGTGAAGTTTTCTGGCCCAGGAGCTGGAGTTTCCTGTTAGCATTTAATGGGCCCTGTTGTGTGGGCCCTATTCTGCATACTGCCACGGGATCCAGAAACTTTTAAATGTTTATAACAGAGCCTATCCCGAGAACTCACAGTGAATAAAGGAACCTGGAAAGAAAAAAAAGAATGACTAATAAGTGGTCTCATTAATGCTATCCATAGAACCCACTCACTCAGTGACAGTTGTCACCATGAGGAGGGATCCCAATGGGAAAAACAAAAATACTTCAAGGAGGGAATGTTTATGATTGGACAGGATAGTGACAAACTCTGGGGCTGGTGCTGGGAGCTCTGGAAAACAGGGAGCAGAAAAACACAAGATGGATGTATTTGGAGATCACATAGTTTACCCAGAGGTGTAGGTGCCTATTCCCAGCTGAAGGAATAAATTATAACCTCCTACTCTCTGACTTCTTTCTCCTGCCTTTATAGCTCATTTGCTTATGTACCTCAGGGAGACAATTCCTGAACTTCAGTTATACCTCCAATCCATTGACCCTTCCATTTTTATTCACTGCACTCTGACCATTTTTGAGGGCATGTCATAGTTTATCATTATGAGTTCTTTCTTGAAAATACACTATTCTCTTGGCCCTCCCTGCATTTTATTCTGACAAAATTTACACTGAATGAACGCACCCTTTTGCACTCTCTGTATCTACACCTGTCTAGCTGAACATTGCTGGAAAAATTCTGCATGGGCCTGTGGATGTAGCTCCAAGGCACTTGCCTACCGTGGGGGAGACCCTGGGTTCCATCGCCAGCCACCAGTTGATGGCAGTATAAAAGGAGAATGCTTAAGCTCTTGAATATTCTTTCAGGATGGACCTGAGATTCTTCTGATGCTCCTTTCTAACTTTCTCCTTTGACAGTTTCCTCAATTTTATCTCCTTTTGCCATCTCTTTCATGTTTATAACTCTACAATTCAGCTAATGACCTTTTAAGTCAGGACAGTTCTTCATCTAGTCTATCTTCCTTTTATCCTCCTGCATCATCAGATCCTAGACCAAATCATCTATATTTTTTACCTAAACCCCTAGTATATCTTCCCGACCAGTGTCCTTGTTTCCTATCTTGTGCCCCTCCAATTCCTTCTCTGTTCAGCAGCTGACATTTTTTTAAGGAAGAGAAGGATGTGGCTCAGTGATAAAAGGCTTGCCTAGCATGTTCAAGGTCTTAAGTTCGATCCCTAGCATAACCAAAAACCAAAATGTGACACTCGCTTACTTAAATATTTTGAATTAATTTCATTGCGCTTAGAACCTAAAATAAAGTCAAATTTCTAACTTTGCCCTACAAAAATGTTTAGTCGAGGTTCTGTCAACTTTCACTCACCTCTTCCTACTTTTCACATAGTTGACTTCTTCAGGTGTCAGACTATGTCAGCACCTGAGTCCTTCCCAGACCAATCTATCTAAAACAGTCTGTGGGTGTCCCCACCCTCCACGCCCCTAAATGTTTTATAATGCAGCATCTATTTCATCATTTTACTATTACCATCTGTAATTACTTTTTTATTCCATTTGACCTTGAATACTTAAAGGGCAGGACCTATATCTGCTTCATTCATCACCGTGTGCCCAGTAACAGGTAAAGTATCGGGATATAATATTTTGATGAAAATGAGTAAGAGATCTCTGTGCCAAGTCTAGAGACAAGAGGAGAAAGCGTGTTGACATAATCCAGGAATCAAAGAGATTGCTATGAGAAGTGGTGAAAAAAGAGGGATCCCAAAGGTCACATTATACCATTTAAGAAGCGTGACCTTTAAAACAGCAGGAAGCCTTTGAAGAGGTTTAGTTAGGGGAGTAATGTGATCAGCTGTGGTTTTAGAAAGATCCCTCTGGCTGAAGGGTTGCAGAAGAAATTGTAGGGAGAAAGACTGAAGGACAAGGTATTTAATCCCTCAGTGCCTCAGTTTCCTCTAATATGAAATGCATGATAATTGTGAAAATTGAAGATGATATATGTTCATCCAGCATAGTATCTGGCAGGATTAAATATTCAAGAATGGTAACAATTTTTATTAGTAATAGACAGTGCTAGCCTTGGTGACCAATAGGAAATTGGGAGGAAAAAAGAGAAACTAGGTGTAAGTTTGGAAGCTGAAGAATAGCAGGTAGTTGGAAGCAATGTTGAGTTTTAATGTGAATGCATAGACCATAAGTACAGGATGATGATGCAGAAGAAGGTCAGGTACACAGATGGGAAAGAGGAGGTTTGGTGTTTTTTTTTAAATATATAGTATGCAAGTATCATAAAATTCACCATTTTATAGCTTACAATACAATTCAGTGGTGTTTAGTGTGTTCACAAGGTTGTAGAACCATCACTATTTTAATTCCAAAATATTTTCATCACCCCCAGTGGTGATGAAAATGGTCCCTATTAGCAGTGTTTCCTATTAGCAGTCACTGCTCACTACCCCTTTTCCCCAGTCCAAGGTAACCATGTCTCTCTTTCTCTATGTATTTGACTATTCTGGACATTTTATGTAAATGGACTAATACCATACATGGCATTTTGTGTCTAACTTCTTTCCTGTAACATAATCCATGTTGTACAATGTATCAATACTTAATTTTCTTTTTCTAGCTGAACAATATTCCATTGTATAGATCTATCACATTTTCTTATCCATTCATCAGTTGATTGCCTTTAGAATTATTTATTACCTATTGTGAATAATTTTTTTATCCTGAATAATGCTACTATGAACATTCAGGTACAAGTTTTTTGTTGTGGTTGTCGTCAACATGTTTTAAGTTCTCTTAGGCAGAGTAGAGTTGCTGGGTCATGTGCTATTAACTTTTTAAGGACATCCTTGATTCTTAATCTGACTAAGGAGAGGAAAAAATTTGATTAAAAATATGGATCTTTACCCATCCCCCCCCAAAAAAACACAGCATGCATACATATTTGTGCAGTTAACTTCAAATTTTGTGTTAAAGGGTCATCTGAATCTGTCTATGGAACTTTTAATCCTATTTTAAAATGTCATCCTCTCCAGCAACACCACTTTAGAGTGACCCTGCCTGTTATCATTAAAAACTAAGTTAATGGCAAAATGCTCCTATAAGAGAAGGCTTTGCCTTCAATTATGTACTGCTGATGTGAACAGAAGGTAAGAAAAATACATTTGTTAAGTAAATGCAAGTGAAAGGGTTAGTACCTTTAGCACAATGATGACTCTACTGAGACTCATAGAAAAGTTCATTTTTAAGCAAACTTATTACTACTTTATTATCATAAAATATATGAATACATACTGTAAACAAGGGACTTTCATGTAGTGAGGCAGAAGACAGTCTTTGCCTTAAAAGAGCTTATAACTGTTATAAATATCACTTTTGGTGGGAAAGAGAATGTAGATGAAAAAAGTTGTAGTAAGTCTGGTTGTGGTGGTGCAGGCCTGTCATCCCAGTAACTCAGGAGGCTGAGGCAGGAGGATCGCAAATTCAAAGCCAGCCTCAGCAATTTAGCAACATCCTGTCACAAAATAAAAATAATAATAAAAAGGGCTGGGAATGTGGCTCAGTGGTT